GTAGCTGATGCAAGAGTTGCTTGCCCAGAGCTGGCTCTTCTTGGGAAGGTAAATTTGATGGAATCGGCTGGAAAGTCACAATCTGGTGTGCATCTGTGGTGTGAATCGGATGGATGATCACCCTCTGGTGTGCATCTGTGGTGTGAATCGGATGGATGGTCACCCTCTGGTGTGCATCTGCGGTGTGAATTGGGTGGATGGTCACCCTCTGGTGTGCATCTGTGGTGTGAATCGGGTGGATGGTCACCCTCTGGTGTGCATCTGCGGTGTGAATTGGGTGGATGATCACCCTCTGGTGTGCATCTGTGGTGTGAATCGGGTGGATGGTCACCCTCTGGTGTGCATCTGTGATCTGGGCATACCTGGCTTGAACAGCTTGAAAGCTATTTGAGTTGTAAGGAGTCCTTGATATTGACTAACCCGAATCATCAAGAGGAGGAGATTTGGCTTCCTTTAAAAAAAAATAAAAGTTTGCAGCTGAGGAGAGGGTTGAGTGGGTAAAGGTGTTTGTCACTAAGTCTGATGACCTGAATTCAATCCCTAAGAAACAGAGGGAGGGAGCCAGTCCCATGCCCTCCACAGGCATGCCATGGCATATGCATGCTTGTACACACACATACTAAATAATTACAATTTTTAACTTTTTGAGGAGTTCTCTTTAGGGGCAGGTTCGGGGAGGGAAATTGTTCCTCCCACTCTTCCGGGATATTTACCAGGGATTTAGAACAGCACATCATTTGCAATTCAACTTTTAGGGACTTTTTGTAACCATGCGCTATTGTCTTTACAGCATGTGTGTTCTTATTCCCCAAGCTTGTTCCTTTTTTTTTTTTTTTAATCAAATAAATAGCTACTTTTTTAAATAGTGAAGTAATGTGCAGGTTCTGTTCTTACGGAAGCAGAGGCCTTTGTTTTCCCATTTAACATTCTTGCCTACTCTTTTTTGTCTTACAAAAGATGCTTGCTGGTTTTGTTTTGCTCATTACTGGGGATGAGTAATGACAGCTAGAATTAAGGGCCACGGCCATGCCTGTCATCCTAGAAACCACTGGGTTTTTACATTACGATTCATGTGTGGCAGGAAGCACCTATGCATGCATGTACATGCGTGTGCCGTGGTTTGTGTGTGGAGACCAGATGGCAGCTTGCTGTAGTTAGTTTTGCCTTCCCGCCATGTGGAGTTCAGGGATCGAAACTCAGGTCACCTCTTACCTGCTGAACCACCTCGCTAGCCCCCCACCCCCGAAATTCTCAGCACAGAACACAGAAGCAGAACTGTGTCTCTACTGTGCCTACCCAGGTTGTCCTGAATAAAGTGTGTCCTCCAGCCTGGGGGACACACTGCCATAGCCCTTGGGTGGCCTTCAGTCAGCTATTGGGTGCAGGAATTGTGCCCTAAAATGAGCTTGATATGCTACGACTCCTACTCAGCCTTAAGCTTCCTCTCATTTTCTTTCCATTCTGGTCTTTTCCAAGGAGTCACAGAAAATGCTGGATAAAGCCGACCCCAGAGCTGCCTTTGTTGAGGGTTAGGGGAACTGGTTTAAGAAAGGTCTTGGATTATGCACCAGCTTCCCCAGAAGTAAACTGAGAGATGAGAGGACCTTGCCCTGGATGGCAGCATCAAAGGCAGTGTTTGCTCAGAGGGCGATGTGTAGAGGAAGCACACACCAGGAGGGTTGATTCATGGGGAATCCCATCCCAGCTGGACCTTGGGAGTGTGCACTGACCCTATTCAGTTCCTGGCCTGTAGGTGGCAGGTGTTAACAAGGGAAAGAAGGCTGTGTCTGTTTTAAACTGGATAGGTTTCAAAGCACTTTCAGGAGCCTTACCCTGTTCAACCCTAAGTGATAACAAGGGCTGTGTTTACCACTGAGAAGATCAAACCTCCACACCTCCCTTTTCCCCAAGGCAGCTGCTGACCCAGCTGTGGGGCCTGGGAGCTGGAATTAGTGAACTCTGCCCAGGGGTCCCCTGCACACCACTTTGTGAATCCTGAGGCCTAGATAGATGACACACACACACACACACACACACACACACACACACACACACACACACACACAGATATTGGCATTCAAGCTTTAAACTGAAGATCAGAAAAGCAAAGCAGCCGGCCACTAGCTCTCACCTCTAGCTCACGTGATCCTGGCTCCACCAAACCTCAGACTAAATCCAGATTGCTTTGCTCTCCCCAACATGGCCGGAGAATCTTGAGACTGAATGCAGCTCCGAGACCCTGCTCCAGTCTCATAGACCTCCCTGACGCTGAGATTAAAGCTCTGTTACTCCTCACCCTTGTGTAGGCCATGATGACCTTGAACTAACAGAGACTCCATCTACCTCTTAATCCAGAGTTCTGGGATTAAAGGTGTGTGCCACCACTGCCTGATCCCTATCGCATGAGGCTAACTTTGCTTTTCTGAATCCTCAGGCAAGCTTTAATAAATCATAAATAATACATCACCACAGCTGAAACCATGGATGACCTCTCTGAAAACAGAAGGCTGTCTGTGCTTGGTCCCATCTGAGGGTCACCATTGTCCAATGAGTGACAAGTCTGTAGTCCACACACTTGGACATAGTGTGTGCTCACTCTCCCCGAAGCCAGCCAGTTAACCGCCCACCCCAGTTAACCGCCCACTGCAGCCTCCATCATTCGCCTTTAAATGGAATCTTGGTGGTAACTACCCACCTATGAGTTGAATTAAGAGTCGATGAGGAGATGCAGCTAGGAGTTTTAGCAGGCTCCATGGGCTCCGACAAATGTCAATTGTTATTGATACCTGTGGGCCCCTACCCACCTCCCATACATCTACTGAACAGAAAGCTCCTGCGGTGGGGGCATCTGCATTTTAATGACACACAGGGAACACCATCTGTAGGACCACTGAGAAGGTGGCAGTGAGAGGTAAATTCTGCCCCTGCCCTGTGACACGTACGGAACCTCACTTGGCTTATGCCCTGTGACTCACTGGCAGGACTCTATCTACCCCAAGCCCAGTGTCCTATTTTCTAAGGACAGGAAGATGAGAAGCAGAGTGGCCAAGCCACTAGAGAGCTCTCACCTCTACCGATAATCAGACCGAAGGGTCGATCCACCAAACCTCTGATTGCATCTCCAGACTGCACTGCTCCTCGACAAATCTCAGACTGCACTGAGCCCCTTATAATCTCTCTAGTGCTCAGATTAAAGCTGTGAGCTCTGTTTCTCTTTTAGACTGATGCACTCTCGTGTAGCCCAGGGTGGCCTTGAACTCAGAGAGATCCACCCGCCTCTGTCTCCTGAGTCCTGGGATTTAAGGTGTGGCCACCAATGCCCCACTTCCATGGCTGTGGCTAGCTTTCAATTCTGATCTCCAGGCAAGCTTCATTAGATCATAAGCAATATATCACCATGAACAATATATCACAGACAAGCATGGGCAGACAAAAGGGGAAGCTTCTGGGTGATGCTCTTTAAAATGAAATTGCACTGTGGAAGATTCCTGACCTTGCAAAGGTGGAGGATGCAGTTGTGCTCAGGTACAGGGAAAGGAAAGAATGGGTAGTTGGGGATAGTGAACTCATGTGCTACCCGGACCGCAGGAGGAGTTGGGAGGAGAGAGAACACGGCCTTTCAGAGATGCCGAGAGACTGGTATGGAGAAGAGTCCAGGGGAGCTCCACATACTGACCTCAAAGGTGCATGGGTGTCACGTGCCGACTCCTTGACTCGACTGTCTTTGGGGAGAGCCGTATAAGGAATATATACTCAGCACATTACATGGCAAGCGTCGTTATAGATGTGGGGTGCTTTGGTGATTTTCAGATCGGATGAAACTCGCCTCCGTGAAGCTCACTTTGGAGAGGGGATGCGCAAGACTCCATCCCACTCCGTCCTCTGCCCACCCTGTGATGTGCATGCTGTCACCACAATACCTGGGTGGTTTTGCTCAATAGAACCACAGTTTGTGGGGGGGGGGGGAAATAATCTTTAAAAAAAAAAAAAAACCACAGGTCTTTTAAACATTGCTTCCCCCGTCCCCCACTAGTAAAATATTCATCTACACAGAAAGGTGTCTACATATGTGAACTTTAGTGGGCATATATGTATAACCGCCACCAATGTGTAAAAAAGAAAATACGAGTGTGTAAGAGGAGACTCAGTGGGTAAAGAACTTGCGTGGGAGCTTACACACCTGAGTTCTCCTGCGCCCACATAAAAGTTAGACATGGCAACAAGGGTCTGTGACCCAAGCACTAGCGGGGTGTGGATCCAGGCGACAGAGGGAAGACACCTGACATTGGTGGCATCTACCAGCACACTCAGGTGAGCACACTTGTGCACACACATGCACACATGCCTGCAGCACATCCACGGAGCACCTTCCTGAAATAAACAGGGTTGGCACCCCCCAAGGTGTTCATGGTCCTCTGGTTTCGAAGTCTCTCCGGACTCTGTACGAGGCGCTCACGCCTGTGTAATCCTTCATGTACTGGCTCTTTGCTGTGTTCCTTGATGGTTGCCGTGTGTGTGCCTCATGTTGTCCTGGTTCATTTGGTCTCTGTGTCGCTCTGTTTCGTGAGTATTCCTCAGTTTGGCCACTTATGGTAACAGGACCGCGGGTTATTTCCTCTCTGCGGCACGATGCACAGTGTGACCCTGTCCTCTAGTAAAACCTCTGCCCGACCCAGGGCGGCTGTTGTGCTGTGAGGTTTGTGTAAGTTTGGGACACAGTGGATACCCTGATAGGTCCGCACTGGCCCCACAAGTCCATGGCAGATGCTGAGCCAGCCATTCTCACACCGTGGCCACTCTGGGAGGCACATTGTGACTGCAGTTTGCACTTTCTGGCATCTATTGAAATTTACCCTGGAGCTTTGTTCCATTTAAGCATGACAGTTAAACAGAGCTGTCTGCCCACCACGGGTCTTCTCTTCACAAATACCGTGGCTTCCCTGAGCACACAGCTGCCCAGACTGCTTCCAGTGCCTCTAACTGACTTTCTGTAACCCAAGGAAAAAGAAGAAAAATGCCTCTGCGTGCCCCGTCAGGACCACCCGGGACCGAGTGCCCACATACCTGTACAGAATGGATTTCGAGAAGATGGGAAAATGCATCATCATAAACAACAAGAATTTCGACAAAGTGACAGGTGGGTGCTGGGCAGGGCCAGCCTCCCCCACCCTTCAACTTTGTCCACATCACACCAAACACTCATGAGAGCCCGGCTGTGCCAAACCCTCTGCCAGCGGTATCCCATGTCCAGGAGAGAGGGATGCAGAGAATTTTCTGTCTGAGGTCCTGCCGTGTGCTGTAGCTAACAGAGTGCTGAGACTCGAGGAGACTGTCTTAGTTTCTTTCCCTATTGCTATAATAAAATGGCCCGTTTGATGGGCTGGTTCTAGTTCGTGGCATTGGCAGCCAATACTGGCCATCACAAGACCCTGGTGGTTTCCTGTTACCATGAGGAAGTCCCTCTTGTTGGGAGGCAGAGCCCCTCCCTCCTCTTGACTTTGCCCCTGGTGTCCTTGTGTGTTTAAGCTGTAACATCGGAAGGTGCTTCTCTGCTTCCGGCACCGGTGTTGAAGCGCTGCCCGGCACCTGATCTGACCAGAACCTGCCCGTGACGTTGCTCATCCTCTCTCCTTGCTTTCCCCCCACAGGTATGGATGTCCGGAACGGGACGGACAAAGACGCAGAGGCCCTCTTCAAGTGCTTCCGAAGTCTGGGTTTCGAAGTGATTGTCTACAATGACTGCTCTTGTGCAAAGATGCAAGACCTGCTTAGGAAAGGTGAGTGCGAGCCGTCCCTGTCTGTCCTACGTCCTGTGTCTAGAGGAACAGGATCTGGGCCCTGTGATGTGGGCTGTAGATTGTGATTGTGTTGGTAGACTTTGGGAAGGGTGAGAGAGAGGCTGCAGAGTGAATTAGGGACCAGATCAGACTTTAAGAGCTGTGCTCATATCTAGGAGAGGTGTGTTTACTCTATACCAGGCCTTTTAACATTGTGACAGTGACATTAGCATCTGTAAAGCTCATGCTCGTGAACCACGTAGAGTTACAAAATCAATCCTAGAAGACCATGTTTTAGGTAAGGTTCCCAGTTTGCATTGAGCCTGAGCTCATGGCTGTCCTAAGGCACATGCTGTCCATAGCCATGGGTTGGACATGCCTAAGGCACTTGCTGTCCATAGCCATGGGTTGCCTTAAGGGAAGCCACTGGGGGTTACTCCCACACTTGGGGTAAGTGTCTGACACTAGAATGCTACCTGTTCATTAGACAGGGACCTAGAGACAGCAGAGGGCTCAGCTTTTAACTACATATCTGAAAAAGAAAGGTTTTATGTAATCTTCCTTATTTTCCTTTTAATTAACTTCTTGCGGTCAGCGGTGATTAAGAGTGTATACTGCCCTTACACACACACACACACACACACACACACACACACACACACACACACAGTTAAATATAAAATAAATCTTCAAAAGTACATATGATTCACCTAAAGTACCTGGATGAGTGCCGGTACACAGGCAGTATCCCTGAAATTCTAAATATTTTCCCCCCTGTGGCTAATTTGGAATTAACCAGTAGGTTTTTAGTGTCATGGCCATGGATAAATTGAAGCCAAGCCGGCCGGCGGTGTGCTCTGTGGTTCCTTTCCTGATCCCTGTATTGACAGCTATCTGGTTTTTTCCTGTTGACTTTCTCGTTTAGCGTGCATTGTAGTGGGTTTCATATGCACGTGGTTATGCTTTGTTCCCAGTCACACCCCCCACTCCGCTCCACAGCGCCCCGCCCCCTTCCTGTCTTCTCAGCCTGCATGCTCCTTTGCCTCCTCCAGTCCCCTCTCAGGGTCCCTCCTCTAGTTTTATAACCTGCCTACACACATATCCAGGCACACACATACGTGTTCGCATACTTTTAAAACTAGGCTCCACACACCAGAGAAATCGCAGGGTCTTTGGGGTCAAGGCTAGCTAATTTCACTTAACGCAGTGATTTCTGGTTCCGTCTGTTTTCCTGCCGATGTCGTGATTTCAGTTACAGACCCTGCTGTGCTTATGGACCACGCTTTCCTTACCTGCGCTGTTGATGGGCTGGCTACTGTGACTGGTCCAACAGTAGACAAGGATATGCCTGTGTGTCAGGGTTATATTCTGTTTTCTGTTGTAATAAATGATGTGTAATACAAAGTCACTGTTTTAGTCATTTTAAAGGGAGGAGTTGAGCAGAGTTAAGCAGTCACTTTTAGAATTCTTTTGATCTTCTACAGCCAAAGCAACCTACCTACCTACGAACCACACACTATTTCCCTCCCTGGCCACTGACGCCCTCCTTCTATTTTGTGTCTCACCAGAGTGAAGCCCTTTTTGTGACTGGCTTATTCTGCTGGGCCTAACCTTTTCTTTCTTTTTTCCTTCTATATTTTTTTTTCAATTTAAGTGAGTAACAATCTTGTTTTACATGTCAATCCCAGTTCCCTCTCCCTCCTCTCCTCTCCTGCCCCCCCATCCCATCCCCTTCTTGCTCCCCGGGGAGGGTGAGACCTCCCATTGGGGAATCTTCAAAGTCTGTCTTATCATTTGGAGCAGGGCCCAGGCACTCCCCCATGTGTCTAGGCTGAGAGAGTATCCCTCTATGTGGAATGGGCTCCCAAAGTCCATTTGTGCACTAGGGATAAATACTGTTTCACTACCAGAGGCCCCATAGACTGCCCAGTCCTCCTAACTGACACCCATGATCAGGGGTCTGGGTCAGTCCTATTCTAGTCTCCAGCTATCAGTCTGGTGTCCATGAACTCCCCCTTGTTCATGCCAGCTCTAACCTTTTCTTTAGCAAATACTTTAACTTTAAAAATAGTGACTGGGTGTGGCGGAACAGACCTTTAATCCCAGTACTCAGGAAGCAGAGGTCGGCTGAGTTCAAGACCAGCCTGATCTACATAGCAAGTTCCAGGCCAGCCAGAGTTACACAGTGCGACCCTGTGGTCAATAAGTAAATAAATATGAACTCATTTAGTAACTACCATAACCACCTCTTTCTTTTTACAGACAGATGAGGAAATGGAGGTTAATTAGTGGCACCGTAGAATCAGCCCACAGGACCACCATTCCCCTCTGCTCCCCAGTGTCCCATAGGTCCCTGGGTTCTGACTGGGAGAAATCTTTGAATTCTCCCTAGCAGTTTGCAGTCCCTTCAGGGAGGTGGCCCAACCCTGTCCTTTGAAAAGGGGACGCCATGCTCTTCCCTGGCCCCGAACTCAGCCGTTTGTGGAGCCGAGCCCTTCAGTGTCAAACGTTGCTCCCCTGCAGCCTCTGAGGAGGACCACAGCAACTCAGCCTGCTTCGCCTGCGTCCTGCTGAGCCACGGAGAAGAGAATCTAATTTACGGGAAGGATGGCGTGACGCCGATAAAGGATCTGACGGCTCATTTTAGGGGGGATCGGTGCAAAACCCTGTTAGAGAAACCGAAACTCTTCTTCATTCAGGTGCTTACAGAGCCGGTGGGGTCAGGGGCGGGGTCGGGTGGGGAGGCAAGACGCGATGCCTGGGATGCTGGGTTTCCGTGGGGCTGGGGCGTTCTGCCCAGAATTGGTTGGCACGGGCACTTGCTTCATTTCTGGAAGCCATCACTCTGCCTCGCTTTGTAATTTGACGCAAACCAGGTGCTTATCGCTTCATCCACTGGGCTGCTGGGGCACAGCAGGAACGGCACAAGCAGTTTTGGTCCAGCCCATGTGTGATCTCTTCTTTGATATGCTTTAGGCGTGCCGAGGCACGGAGCTCGATGACGGGGTCCAAGCCGACTCCGGGCCTATCAACGAAACCGATGCTAATCCCCGGTACAAGATCCCAGTGGAAGCTGACTTTCTCTTCGCCTACTCCACAGTTCCAGGTACCCTGTCCACTGTCTGCTGACCTCACCAGTCCACATCCCTACATCAGCAGTCAGGCACTGTATTAGTCTCCTTTGCTACAGTAGCTAATTACAGTTTTAGCACTCTAACTCAAAATGTTTCCAAGTTCGAAACAGTGTCGGTACCCTGTTCAAAAGCCTGGATTCTGTAGCGTTTCAGGTGTTGTGTTTCCTTACTAGAAATGTAGCTCATGGGGTAGGCTGCTTACAGTTCAAGCATGAGGACCCAGGACTGAATCCCCAGCACCGACATAAAAGGCAAATGTAGCGATGTGTGCCTGTAAGGCCAGCACTGGGCCTGCACATAGTACCCTTAGAGGCACACTGTCCTGTCACTCTACCTGAGTTGGCAAGCTCCAAGAGTCTGTCTCAGAAAACAAAAGTGGAGATCCAGTAGAAGAAGACACCCAACAGGGGCACATAACATGTAACACAGACACAAAGAAGAAAAACCATTGTCAACGTCAAACCTATCCAAATGTTCTGAAGTCTGAAACACTTCCGCTCATGCCCAGGCTTTCCTACAGACAGAATGACTCAAGTCATATAAACATCTTACCTCAGTGTTCTAGAAGTCCAAATCCCTGAGTGAATCTGCCTGGCTGACTCTCTGCTGGAAGCTTCGAGGGAAATGTTTCTTCTTTTTCCTAGCATGTTGAAACCTCCTCTATATCCCTTGTCCTGAGGCCCTTTCTCCCATCACATGCCAGAAACCTCAGCTCGCTCTGCACGGACCTCTGTCTCTCCCTCTGCTCTACCAGCCCCTCGTCCTTCCTTCACTCTCTGGGACTGAGTCTGCCTGGGCAATCAGGACTTTTCCCATCTCCAGTGTATCGTTTTAATGACATTAAAACGTCCTCTTTGTCGTGTAGGGGGTTAGCATAGTCGCAGGTTCCAGATTAGGCGTGGCCATCTTCGAGGACAATTATTCTGCCCACCACAGAATTCATTTCTCTCCCTAGCAAAGTGGATTTCTCTCCTTTTGCATAACTTACTAGTATTAGTAATTACAAGACTTTCACGGTAAGCAACAATTGTACATATAAGTAACGATGCTATTATAAGAATGCCATTTTAAATAACTATAAACCAACTTCCCCCTCCCGTCATCTTTATAATAATTGTATAGTTAATGGAGGAAGTCATTGTTGCTCTTTGCAGCTGAAAAATTAATTGAACTTGGGTGAGCTTCAAAAATGTGGCCAGGCTCAGATTTCAGCACCCAGATGCTCTGTATTGTCTCAGACCAGGATCGTTTATGCTGTGACTATGGCAGGTACCACACAATGCCCGGAGTGTGACTTCTTGTTTACCAAGCTCTGTGATTGCCAGAGTGCGTTCAGTACAAGCCTTTTGTTGTCCATAGACCCTCGCAGAATGAGAATCCCCCAGCTTTAGGACTTTTGCAAAAGCATGGTATTAGTCAGTACATCTAGAAAAGAAACCCAGCTCTGGCAGGATCTACGGCTGGGTCCTGGGAGGAACTTGACATCACATGCTCAAGCACTGTATGAGATAGAAAGTATGCTGGTCTTCCTACTCTTGGCAGGTTGGCCCTGAGAGGATTAGCAGACATCATTGTGAATACACCCAGTTGTAAATGCTTCAGGCAAGTCTTTAGGGGCTGGAGGAAGAGGACGAACTCCTCTACAGGGGCCAGTAAGGAAGGCTCCCCTACATATTACTGCCGTAAGTGACTCCCGAGCTCAGCCATCGTTCCATTCTAGGCCAAATGGCCCAGTGCGCTTTCTAGACAAGAGACGAATGGATCATAGATGCCAGTTGGCATATGTCAACAGACATCTATTTCATGACCAACTAACTGGTCTCAGAAGAGGACTCTCTTCCGGCTTTATAAAAGGCTTCCTTCTTCCTCACATGGCAGAGAAAATGCAAGAGGAAGTACTCTGGCGTATGGTCTCATAAAGACACTAATCCTACTGGGGCAGGAACCCACCCTTCTGACCTCGTTAACTTAATTCCACGATGGCAATCTCACTGCAGGCTGGGACCTCTCAACATGGAGCCTCGAGGATAGGGGCACAGTTCAGTCTGAGGCTCAGCGTGTGGCAGCCTCTGGAGGGTATGCAAAGGAGCCTGTTGTAGGCTGTGTGTGCTGTCAAGCAGCCTGAACTTTGCCCTGAATTTAAAAAAAAAAAAAAAAATGCAAGGAAGCTGTTTCAGGTCAGAGTCACAGGATGACATCTGTACTTGCAAATGGTTCCTTGTACCCCTAGAGGCCAAAGGTCAGCAAGCACAAGCCCGGGAGGTGATAGTTCGTGCATCCTTGCCAGGCCACTGAGTTGAGTGAGACCTTGTCTACAAACGAGTGTATCATCGGGTGGCAGCACCGTCCAGCTCCTTCCTGACTTGGGCTGGTGGCTGCCAGTGCGTTCACTGCAGGCGAGAATCCTAAGGGTACTTTGCCCTGTATCTTCCTATCCTGTGTCCCCTGCTCATTGAAGCGTACGCGGTGACTGGGTGGTAAGGGTGACAGTGTGGCGGGCCCAGGTCTCCTGTGACTGGATCTGGGTTCCTTATCAGGAGGCCGCCTCTGCGCAGCTCGTCATGGGAACCGAGTACAGCTTTGTGTTGGCTCTTGCTCTCGTTGGCAGCCATGTACCCACCCTCTCAGGTGAAGGGGCCACAGTTTGGTGACTTTGGTGCTTAGTCTAAGGCACTAGGCAACACGGTGGACACCGTTTAACATCACAAAGGCAGTGACTGAAAGTCCACGTCATTGCATTGCCCTGTAGAACTCATTCTTCATGGCGACCTGCTGAGGCTGGCCAGGGCCTGACTGTCTGGGCTTGTGTCCTCTGACCTCCACTTTAGGGTTTCCATGGTAACCATTTGGATGGGCAGGTGTGAGTCCTCCATCAGCCGTGCCAAAGTGCTGTGGGAACTTGACCTGTCGACTTTCCCGCCAGCTTTCCCATGTGTAAGGAGCAATTTTAGATTCCTGAGTCAGAGGTGTTGGAAGTCACAGAGGGCGGGAGGGAGGGAGCCATGCTCAGGGGTTAAGAGTCCAGTGGACCTCAGCACAGTTCAGGCGGTAAAGCTAGCAGCTGTTGTGATTGTGAGGTCCTGGGTTCCCGGGGACCTGCTCCTCTGTGTCAGGTGTGACACCTGGGTCTGCTAGGGTTTCCTTTTAAGACTTTTGGGTCCAGGCCCAGGAAAACCCACCAGAGTCAGCTGTCTTTTCCAGAGACCGTGTGTGGTCCGTGAGAAGCACACTTCTTGCCCGGCAATGCCTGCCGTCCTGGACCAGGAGCCTCCCCGGACTCTGCCCCTAACGCAGCCAGCAGCTCTTCCCCTGCAGTGTTTCAACCGTTCCTACCCCTCATTCCGTGCCTCCTGCCAGTAAAGACACACCCCAGAAATCTCTGCAGCTCTTCCCTGGGCTGGGGCTAGAAAGTAGCACACATCCAGAAGGGAGATGAGGTGTTTCAGTGCGGTCAAGTGTCCTGCGCCTCCCCCAGGGTACTCTCCACACACCTCACTCTCCTGGGTTCCTCGGGCACCCGGACACAGGAGGTCCTCTGGCAGTATCCACAGCTCCTGGCCTTTAGTGGCCTCATCTGTTATTGGTTTCCGTGCTGGAATACCCCAAGCATTTTGAGCATCTTTATATAGTCCTCACACCATGAAGCATTTCCCAAATTTCCCATTTGGTGACTTTGATGCAGAAGAAAAGATGACGATGTCCAAACACCCAGGCACCCAGGCCCACAGTGCTGGGCATCCATTCTTGCCAGTGGGTGACACAGCTCGCAAGGTTGACTAATGGATCTCCTCTCTCTCTCTCTCTCTCTCTCTCTCTCTCTCTCCTCCTCCTCCTCCTCCTCCTCCCGCCCCTCTGCCTGAAGGCTATTACTCATGGAGGAACCCAGGAAAAGGCTCCTGGTTTGTGCAGGCCCTCTGTTCCATCCTGGAAGAGCATGGCAAAGACCTGGAGATCATGCAGATCCTGACCAGAGTGAACGACAGGGTGGCCCGGCACTTCGAGTCCCAGTGTGATGATCCCTGCTTCAATGAGAAGAAACAGATCCCTTGCATGGTGTCCATGCTCACCAAAGAGCTCTACTTTGGCCGTTGACATCCATGCCTTCCAGCGGAGAGCCTGCAGCCACTCATCCATGAGTCTAGTTGCTATTTTATTTTTATCTTTTTGATGCTCTCAAAATAATCTGGAAATGTTAAAAAGAGATTTAATTTCGGGAAAGTATATTGATTCAGCAGGGAGGAAGTTTCTGGCAATATCTGATATTCTGGATTTCTAGACGTTTTTAAAATAATTGTCTTCATTGGATGGCTTTGTGCTTTCCTTTCACGGTTAATTTCCTGTTCCCTGGTATTCACATTGAGTGCATGCTATGAAAATGACCTCTGGAGAGAAATTCCTGGTGGTGGCATTAACGGAAAGTCAAAGTCTTAGTTTTAAGTTGGCAGAGAGAATTCCAGTTCTTGACGAACAAATATAGCTGAAATGCTCATTTCCTCTCCTGGGAAAGGTGGCTGCTTTGTAGAGTGGTTGTTTTCATCGGTGTAGGACAGATTCGGATGCAGACCTTCCTAGGGACGTGAGAAACCAGTTAATGCTTTAGCATGCAGGCGTTTCCATGGGGAAACATTGACACAAGGGATTCCCTTCAGTGGGTAATTAAGAGAAAGAGCAGCAGAGACCCCTTACCTCAGGTGTGACTGGCAGGCTGAAAGAGGAGGTCGGTTCCCTGGGCATCAGTAAAAACTGTGGTAGCACCACCTCCTAGGAGCTGGGACCATTTAGGGTTGTGGAAAATGGAGCCACACCGAAGACAAAGCTACTGTCTGAGATAGAAACCAAGCAGGAGCTGAGTCAGATCCCCAGGCTTGTCCTCTCACATCCTCACCATTCCAAGGTACCCGAAAGCAGCTGGTGAGGCCCCTGGGGATAGAGATCCCCTGGGATACAGAGCAGAGCAAGAGCTGTTGAGCCGGGGTGTGAGCCTGGCCCATGATGTATGTGCACTTAGATGGCGAAGTCTTCCTGTTTACAGCAGGGTCCCTCTGCTCATCGGTTTGCCTGACCATCCTCACCGGTGCTGAAGAATCATGTTTCCACATCGTGTGCAAAGTAATATTTTTGTATTTCAAACACATCTGGAATTCTTTAAAATATTCCAAGCTTTTTGTTTGGATTTTTGTTTTGTTTTGTTTTCTGAGTAATATTTTGTTACCTGTGATCCTACGAATGACACTTAGGGAAAAGACCTTGGCACTTCCTTTTCAAGGTGTTATTTTCTTTGGAATTCGCTATATGTTCCTATTTTTTCCCCCTTCTAAAAAGTAGTTAACAAATGTTCCTATTTATTGATTAAAATGTGATTTAGTATCTCCTAACCGGCCTGGGTTGCTTTCTTCTTGAAGTTATTGAAGTTATTTAGGGCAGTGAGAAATTAGAGAACATTAAAAAAAATAGAAGAAGACAACACATTAGGAAACCAGATGAGAATGGCCCTGCTGACTGTGTCCCCAAACATATACAAACATTATTCATTCTGAAGCTAGAACACAGTGAGCACATAATCACCTGGAAGTCAAGCGTTTCACTAAAAGGGTTATTTAACCTGTGCAGTGGCCTTGGGCGGCCTGCCTCCTGTTAATCTGGGAAGAAGGATCAGCCATGTAAAAGTAGACTTCCCGCTAAGAAAGACACTCAAGGCCAGTTTGTTGGTCCCTGCCATGAAAACTACACCAGATGGTCGCAGTTTAAGTAGAGACCATGACTCAAGCATCAGTCCTTTGACTACCAGAATCCACAGGCCGTTGTAAGCAACGTGGGCTAGAAATAAAGGCGCCAAGCACACCGGACTTGCATTAAGAGCCCTGTTGGCCTAGCTGTTTGCTTTATAAGTTCCACCAATGGGGAAGAAATGATCCCAAGTGCTGGGCTTTGTTTATTTATTTTAATGAACCAAAGCCTTTATACGTGAAAATACAAGCTCGTTTCTAAAATGAAATCATACACCTGAGTTGTATTCATAAGTGTGCTAAAATCAAAAGCTGTAGAACACTGAGACATGGGCTGCCCCATCTCAGATGGAGGCACACTCCTGAATCCCCGTGTTTCGTCAAACACCGCAACTCCCAAGCTTGCTTCTTTTGTGCACTACTCTGTGTCAGCGTTCTCTCTGTCTGATTGGATCCTTGGATTCTGTGTCATTTTCTGTGTGACATTCTCCGTATGCACATGCATGATGTTTCATTGGCTGCCGCTCTGAATGTTTGTCCTTCTTCATGTCCGCTGTTACCATGGACTACCCCTTTCCATTGCAGAAACCCCACTCGCTTCTAAAGAAAAAAAAAAGGGGGAGCAGAGAGTCTTGTATCAAAATCACTGATTTCCTTTGGTGGTGCTGTTCGGGAGGCTGTGGAACCTTCAGCGAGCAGGGCCTTGCAAAAAGAAGTGTGGCTTGGGGAGCCAGCTTTGGGGTGTGTAGCACTGCCCACTTCCCCCCACACAAACCAGAAGGGAACGTGAACCCTTTCTTCCTAGAGTTGCTTTTGGCTGTGGTATTTTATCACAGCAAGAGGAAAGTGACCCCTGCTTGCATAGGTTACAATCAGTGGGTATTACAGGTTGAGCGCCTAGTATCCAGAATGATCTGAAGTTCATGAAACCATAAGGTCTCAGATTTGAGCAATTTAGGATTAAGGATTCCAACCAATAAGATCTATCTAAGCAATCCTAAACCTAAAATCTGAAACACTTGAGACTCCAGGCATTTGGCTCAGGGATACACAACTTAACTTCATATTCCTTAAAGCCTGTTAGGAAAGCATCTTCTTTCTTGGGTATTCACAGTGATGTTGCTCATCAAGATCAGATACCCTATTTCATGTGGGCCCACGTTCATTCATAGCTCTGTGGCTACACTTCTCTTATTATTGTGGGAGTTGTGCACATGCTGTGGTGTGTGGCAGTCAGAAGGTAGCTCTGTGGGATCTGTTCTCTCCTCCCTCCTTTATTTGGGTTCCAAGGATCAAGCTCAGGTTGCCAGGCTTCTCCAGCAAGCATCTTCACCTGCTGGTTCTTACTGTTTTATATTCTGACCTGTGATGCAAGCTGCTGGGAGGTCGTAGAACCCAGCCCTGATGAGCATTCCCTCCCAGTTCTCATTGGTGTGGAGAACCCAAGCTTCCCTTGCAGGAGGAGTATCCGACAGAGCACTGTCTTCATCACAAGAGTTGGCGGCATGTGGTATTACGAGGAAGGCAGTGTTCCGTGTGTTGTCCGTGGGCATCAGGCGCACAGATCTGGATTTCTGCCTGTTCTTCCTCGGGGTGCCGCCAGCCTATTTAAGCAGTTGGCTATTTATGTATTCACAGATTGGCCGCAACTCTATTCCTGAGCACACATTTCTGTAAACCGTCATAAGCCCATTATGTTTATGAACTGCTTAAAACAGATCTCAGGATAAAGTGGTGGGATTTGTTGTGCATGTGTCACAGGCTCTGACTGACCTTTAGTCTGGTCTTGCAGCTCATTACCTGCCACCTTTCACTGGCAGCTTCTCCAGTGACCGAGGGTTTCCTCTTGGTGTCCTGAGTGCACACCTTTCCCGCCAAGTTTTCGTCTTTTGGGACCTTTCCCTCAAAACAGTGGGCTAGGTGGGCATCTGTGGTAGCTAGCCATCAGTTTACAGCAGCAGCTCATCGTGGTTGCCACAGCTGTAAGTATCCATGGGAGAGCTAGTTCCAGGACACACGCCCAGGATATCATGGTCTGTGGACGCTCACATCCCATCAAATGACATTGATTTGCACATAAGCCTTTGCCTGTCTCCCTGTATGTTTTATTTGTAAGTTGTGTGGATGTCTGTGAATGTGTTGGCAAGTGTGCACACAGGTCCAAGACTATGAAATCTTCCTCTGTCACAAAAGCAAGGCTTCTCAGCTGAGCCTGGGGCTTGCTGTGTCATCTAGTGGGCTGGCTAGCCAGCCTTCCAGGCGATGAAGTCACAGAGAGGCCATCATCCCACCTAGCATTGTCTACGATGCTGGCAGTCTCCAAACCTGCTTGTGTACTAAGTATTATACTCCCTATTCTGTGCCGGCACCTTGCTTGTACAAATAAAGCCTGTCTGAAGGTCAGAGAACGGAGCTTTCCACTAGCTAACCATAGAGGTCTGGAGGTCTGTAGAGACAGAGAGGAAGTGAGGTAGCTGGGAGGAAACAGGATATAAGCAGGGAGAAACAGGAACCCACTCTCTTGTCTCCTGAGACACTAGGAGGTAAGCCCGCTCCTTCTCTCTGATCTCAGCATTTTCCTCTGTCTCTTGACTCCGGGTTTTTTTAAGAACTCCCATTTACATTTTGGTGCCCAATATGGGGCCCAAACCCATGACCTTGAGATTAAGAGTCTCATGCTCTACCAGTTGAGCTAGCTCAGGGTCATGGGTTCGGGCCCCTTGTTGGGCACCATTTGATGACAGAAGTTTCTGACCTACCTGGTCCTGCAGCGGTTTGGACCCAAATAAACACACAGAGGCTTATATTAATTAGAAACTGGCCAATAGCTCAGGCTTCCTATTAGCTAGCTCTCTTTCAATTATTAACCCGTTTCTATTAATCTATTTCCAAGTGGTCTTGGCTTACCAGAGAAGGCCTGGACCCACTTCTCCTTTGGCAGCTACATGGCCTCTCCCTCCCGAGCACTTCTCTGTGTCTCGTCTTCCCAGAATTCTGCATTTCTGGTAGCTCTGCCTATACTTCCTACCTAGCTACTAGCCAGTCAGCATTTTATTGATCAACCAATCAGAGAATCATATATTAACAGCACACAGAAGAATATCCCCTATCACTGTCCCTTCCTTTATATTTTAAGTCACCTCTAGCTTATTCATGACATGGGGTACAATGTGAAGCTCTGCAGATGTCATACTGCTGTATCGTTTAGGAAAGGATGAGAAAACCATTTGTTCATATTTGGTACAGACGCAGTTTCATCGGATAAGCTTGATCTTTGGTTGGTTAGATCTGCAGATGCAGAAGTACAAACAACGGACTGAAATGAACCAGGAAGGCCAAGAGCAGTGTCCCAGCATCTCAGCGATTCGTCCAAGGTTGCTTCAGACTTCTTCAACAAGAGTTCGGGCCCAGACCCATGTGCTCATCAGCTTCAGAGATCACATATTTACACCATTATTTTCCTCGACACTAAAATATGTACCTCCAGCAATATCTTCATTGTCAGCCTAAGATGATATAGAGTTGTCCCGTGGACTTAGAGGAACAAAGGAGCAGGCTGGCTGAGTAACAGTGTCCATG